TTGTATATTTCTTTACGGAGTTAGGACATATCCTGTATACAGTATAGATTAGTAATTTCCGCTTATCAGTGGATAAACATCACAAAAAAGTCACCAAAACCGATCGTTAAGTCACACCGCTCTAATCTTATCGAGCTTATCTGTTTTAGCTCTGATCTTCGCTTGAAAAGAAAATTCAGGTTTTCTGCTGCGAGGTCCGCCCACTCAGTGACCTCACGACGAATTGAAACACCCTCAGTTTGCCTTGATTTTAGCCGAAATTCACTTTTACTTCAGATTAACTTTTCGCGAAACACACATGGATGCACACACATACACACACACATCACCATAATCGTCATCGTCATCTTTATCAACTTCATCAACATTATTGTTATCAACATTATTATTCTTTCAACAACAATTATACCAACAATAATGAGAATGATGAAAATGATAATTTATATAATAATAATAATAACAACAATAATAGTAATAATAAGTATAGCAACATCATTGTCATCATCACAATCATTGTGGATATAATATCATATTTAGTATCAATATAATCATCATTCAGAGAGAGAGAGAGAGAGAGAGAGAGAGAGAGAGAGAGAGAGAGAGAGAGAGAGAGAGAGAGAGAGAGAGAGAGAAGATGATTTATTGCGACAAAAATGTTCATATTCATTCATACTTTTTTCTACCAGAGAGAGAAGTGCGTTTGCGGGCGTTCATCTATGCCTCTTGAGTGCAGCGTATTAATTTCCTGTCATTGTCTCCCAACAGGATATAAGAGCGAGACGCTGCTCACCATGCGCCAAGCACGGACTCGCATCCGAAGTCCCATATCGCAACAACTGACGTGACAGCCACACGAGCCGTTTTCGCCGTGTCATCTGGCCGCCATGGCGTCCTCGATCCCGGCGCCGGCCACCTTTGCCAGGCTTCACCACACCATAAAGTACATCCAGCGCATCCTGGCTGAAGTTCACAAAAACTTCTCTCTTCTGGATGGCAGGAGCCTCGACGATTTCTTTGAGCAGGAGAAAAGCAAGCAGTCATGGGCAAAGAGGATGTTCGTCGACCATAAAGACCTCATAGAATCGGCCACCCCGCCGGAGGAGTTTGACTGCCATCTGCTCTACAAGATGATAAAATACATGGATGGCTTGGCTAAATATAACGACCCTGCTTGGGAGAGCAACGCTATGGACTCGATCGAGAGCTTGGTATACTTCGTCTTCCGTGAGTGGGACGAACTGAAGGAGGGCTTTGTCTTGTCGGAGCAGAGCCTGAGCCGGAGACTCGACGGCGTGCAGGATGCCCTCGTTCGAATTGTTTCCAAGATTGAGGGAAGGAAAGGGATTGATCTCAAGCACTTGAAGGTAGAAGTACACAAGGAGTTCAACTCGTCATTATCCACGAGTTTTCCATACATTTATAAAGTCTCATCTCAGCATTCAATACACCGCATGCTGGTATTGCTGTACAAGCAGTTGAATCGACTCAATGGCAAAAGCGTGGAGGCTTACCGCAAAGAGACATTTGAGATTAGAAGTCCTCTCTTTGCATTTACTCCGGCAGAAAAGATGATGCTGAGGAAAAACATCTGCCCTGAGAAGATGCCAATCCGTCTGGTATTCAAACTCCTTGAGCGTGTGTGTGGTCTGGAACGCCAGAAGAGCCCTGCATGGAGCGAAAAGTCAGACAGAATGGAGTACTTACTCACCCGTATCATTAAGAATCATCAGGAAATTGTATATAGTGCTCAGAATCTCGATTATGACTGGCCATACGAGCTTTTCCAGCTGTTTGAAAAAGCATTAGAGGTAACCATGAAAATCACTGGCAGGACGAATCAAGAGATTATGAAAGAGATGCCTGATGAACCAGTCCATCTGAATGAAGCTTATTCTTGTAGTGTTCTGTGCAAAACTCTCACTTCTTGTGATAGTTTTGGCACTATATCTGACCCAGAACCTTCATCGCTCGCTGCCACTCCACCAGCATCACTACCGAGCCTAGAAAGTCTTTCTATAGATGAGATCAATATTGCGTGCTTATTCCAGGCTGTATGCTCGAAGGGACCAGCAGTGAGGACGCTGGTCACTGTGTTCCAGTCATTTAAAGGTGACATTGCAAAGGTCAAATCCGGCAATAAGAAAAAGCTTGGCCTTACTCACGACGATGTAAAGAAACTTGAGAATGGGGAACCACTTGAAAATTTAGACATTACATTGCTTTATAAACTCATACAATGCGGCTGTGAAGGCTTAGCTCCCCAGAATGATCCTGCTTGGTATACTCCAGGAGATACACTGGAATACCATTTGTACTTACTAAAATATGAAAGAAACACACTGTTCCATTGCAGGGCTTCTCTACCTGAGAAAGAACTGAAAGAGAAAATGAAGAAAATTTGGTATATGCTAAAATACATTTTAGACGAAACCGCAAGCCAAGCTGGCATAGATTTGAGTGTTCAAATATCAGAAATTAAAAAAGACATGGTTAGATTGGAGAAACTGCCTATTCGACAGGTAGATATTGATACCTATCGACAGGAGGTGAAAATGCTGCGGGAGCAACTTTGCTATGACCTCCTTCAAGAATGTCGCAAGGAACTTTCTGAGAAGTACAACCAAGCCTCGGCAAAACTCGCATCGCCTGTCACCTGGAGTTTACATCCTGCGCACAAAAAGCTGACAATTGATAAGGTTTTTACCGAACCTGAAATAGATTACTCTCGGAGTGAGCTGAGAGAGAAATCTATTCTGTCTTTACTTGACAGCGAGCTGAAAAGTCCCAACAAAGTGATCCTGTATGGCGTAGCTGGGACAGGAAAAACTTCAATATGCCAGTTTTTGACATATACCTGGATAAACAAAGATGACTATGACTCTACCTGTGATATATTAATTTTGATCAAATGCAAAACCACGAGACAAGATAACCTAGTGGATTTTCTATTGGCTTTCCTTCCAGAAAGTATGAAGCGGGTGCAAAAAAATGACATCATGGTGCTAATGCAGAATTTGAAAGCCATGTTCATTGTAGATTCATATGATGAGGCGACTTATCAGGCAAAGGAACTCATTAGCGACATTCTTCATACTTTACCAAGGAGCACCATCATCATAACCACAAAACAACACGCGGTGTCATACATAGAAATGAAGGTCTTTGAAGCCACTGGTTCAGACTGCATGCTTCTGAAAGTCCAAGGATTTGGAGAGGATAAACAGAAAGAGTATGTGCGAAATTTCTTTCAGCTAACATTGACGTCAGCTACAAGTGCCAGTGAAAAGGCAGAGGCAGACAAAATGTGCACTGAAATGGAGACCTATCTAGACTCTCTTGACAAATGTCATCGTGAGTTCGTATCGCTGCCTCTAACTCTGTCGCTCTTGGTCATTTTGTGGCAAGATAACTCCAAGAGTGCCAAGGAAGCTACAACACTAACCAGGCTGTATCAGAAGATAATCAGGTACACTTTGAAGAGATTCGCTCCTGAAGATTCGGATGTGCGTCGATGGATTTTAGCTCTTGGCAAAATAGCTTGGCAGAGTCTGAACCGGAGCAGCCAGTGCCTCACCAACAAGGACGAGGAGAAGCTGATGGACCTGGGGGACAGCCTAGGACTCCAGAAGAAGCAGGTGTTGACAGCCGTCTTACAGAGTACAAGTGAGGATTCTACATTAGATAATAAGAACTACTGGACATTTTCTCACAATTCCCAGCAGGAGTTCTTTGCAGCTGAGTACCTTGTAAGGCAAATTGTGTCGCATGACAAAGTGTTGTCTGTAATGTTAGAGAGCTGCAAGGCAAATAAATTACATCGATACTTACAAGTAATCGAGTTCGTTGCTGGATTGTTAGCGCTGGAAGATGAGCTGTCGTTAGAAAGGGCTGATGACATTATCGGTCTTATTTCTGATCAGACTCCATGTGCTTTTGAAGTGATCAAGAGACTGGCTCATGACATCAGTTCAGAGAACGAGCATTTCCACAGTAGATTGAAGAACCTTTTCCAGGACAAAGAACTTCGACGTACTCTAGATAATTTCGATCCAGACTGCGTTCAATGGATCATAGAAAACACTGCCATCAGAGTTCCTGCACAGGTAATGCTCATTAATTCTGCACGCTCCGTCGTCAAAATGAAAACGCTGTTGCACACACTAACCCAGAAGTCTAGCAAACCTCACATCATTGCAACAATTGACAATATGAATGATATAGAGGACTTGATGACTTTCATCGAAGACCTCTTTGAGCTCAGCGTGGGCTATACGCTCCACATCCAAAACTCGGTTGATCTTCACATGTTGATTAGGACCTGGAACTGGCACCGGCCTCTGTGCCTGCGCTTCCCCCAAATTCTCTTTCCTCTCCTTTGGTGGGAGTTAAAGGTATCCCTAATGGCAGCAGACATCAAGCTCTCAAGCATTAAGTTCAGTGAAGACGTGACTCATGCCGTAGACTTCAGGAGAGGGGTGGAGCAGCTGGGCCTCGAGTGGGTCGCCGATTCATCCCTCGACGCCAGTGAGGTTGTGGTTACTAGTGGACATGTAGGAGAGTAGTCATTCCAAAAGACTGTGTGTTATCTGTCATGCCAGATTCTTTGTCTTCTGTCGTTCCAGATCTTATGTATTCGGAGAACATTATTTTTCATCTCTCATTCCAAACATTTTGGGTTTTGAGAAGCATTGTTTGTTATCAGTGACTGTAAATAACCATGCGACTGCCCATTGTTATCAGCTCTCTTTCTGCTGCTGCTTAAGTATTGCTGGCTTTTTTTTAGCCATTCAAGCAAGAACAGAATGACATGCTCAACTATAATGGATCTGTGATTTTAGTATTATTTTTATATGTTATAGAGGTGACTTCCAGGCAATATAAGCTAATTAATAGGCATATAAACGTAAATATCATTTATCATATACACTACTTTTGTTATAATTGCTGATATTTTGCTGGCAGATATGAATTGTTTTTATTTCTAAATATTTGTTGATCAAGTTCGAGATTTTTTAACCATTTGGATTAAAGAACACATTTATGAAAACGATATCATTGTTCTAGAAGTGTGTGTGTGAGAGAGAGAGAGAGAGAGAGAGAGAGAGAGAGAGAGAGAGAGAGAGAGAGAGAGAGAGAGAGAGAGAGAGAGAGTGAGTGCGCGCGCGTGTGTGTGTGTGTGTGTCCCCGCGCGCACGTGCAAACACATGTCTCTCTCTCTCTCTCTCTCTCTCTCTCTCTCTCTCTCTCTCTCTCTCTCTCTCTCTCTCTCTCTATATATATATATATATATATATATATATATATATATATATATAATACATATGTATATATGTGTATGTGTATACACACACATGTACTGAAATAACACACTGACGAGTAGTAAAAAGGGCTCATGATGAATCACGTTCTTAAGCATTCTTCTAGGAAGATGTTTTCGAATTATACTGCAACTATGGTGTTTACTCCAGAACAAATATATTGTTGACCTAATAATTAATGTAGCATCTATTTGAAATACTGCGATGAAAGGTATTGTTCAAAATTATTTCATTTAGATATTCATTTACTGATTTATTTAAACGTATCTTTAAAATTACTAGAGTATGGACAAGCTAAAGGTCAGCTTTGAACTATATGTTTTTAAAGATAGTTCAATAAATGAATTCATTTAATACTTACATGAGTAAGTATTGTTTCATAAAAGTTCAATCAACATATGTTACAGCTATGTATTTCTGCGATATGCACTGTGTTTAAAAATACACGTTAATATTGCCTCTGATAATTTGTATGGGTTCTAGCTCTCATGTTGTTTTCTATTTGTAGTGAGGAGAGGAACTAGGAAGTGTGTAAAATAATGGAAATTAGGATAAATGGGACAAAAGATTCAGGGCGAGGTGGTAGGATAGCAACATCGGACTGACTTTAACGTTGATAAGCCTATAGAATAGACAAAGAGGAAAAAAATTAAAATGAAGAAGGTAGCTGAGGCTGGGCGGTATCCTAGGAAGAACAGCTTTCATGTGTCTTCGTACAATTTCAGATTAGATGCCTTTTTGACTAGAGCCAGTCTCGATAACGTGGAGTTTAAAGGAATAGCTATTTTTACACGATTTCGATGGCATGCACTACAAAGAATCAGTAAAAGACCGCAAGAAAAAATATAACTGATCAAGCGTCGTAAAGTAGTAACTGAAAAAAACACTTGAATGGAAAGAAAACCTATGTTTTTACTAAACTGATTTATAACTAGGTTAGCTTATCAAGGGATATCCGGCAACTGAGCACTCGAGTTCCCCTTCAATGAAACATGTGCGTTTACTCTACATTTGTTATGAATCCAACGATGGAAAGAGGAAAAGCTGTTAGTTCATTCTTCTATTTATCTTTTGTTTTGTTTTTTTGTCCGTCCTCGCCATACCAACAATAACTTATGAGCCCAATACAAGCAGGGGATTCTTGGATGTTCTAAAGAAAAGGTTCCAATTTTGTTACGAGGCTCCTGGCACCAAATTTAGGGGATGTGAAATTTTTGCTTTATTGCATTTCATAGGCATTTTACAAACACTTCCTCTCGGCACCGCTGCAATTAGGTTGCTGTTAAAATGGGTTCTTTTGTGGGGCGCAGCAACGGATCCACTGGATCCGCCAATGGCTATTGGTAACAAAGAAAGAACAACTGTTTTTTATTCATCGGGTACGGGTATATACCTCTGTTCAAGTTATCACATAAGCACACATGCAAAATGCATATACATATGTGTGCGTTTTGATGAAAAAGCAAAACTTGTCCCGGCCTAGAATGACGTTTGATGAATTTGATTTATGTTTTCCGGTTAAATTGTAATGTTACTGATGCTATTTGGCCCGCGCGCGCAAGCACACACACACACACACACACACACACACACACACACACACACACACACACACACACACACACACACACACACACACACACACACACACACACACACACACACACATGTGTGCGTAATATATATTTTGCGCTTTTAATTGTGGTAACGTCTATTCAGAATTTAAGTAATATTATTTACACAAAATCTCAAAGTTTATTTTCGGTTCGCGGTGGGTCATGCCGTCTCACTTGTATCACGCGTCCACGCCTACACTTCACACAGCATGATCAATCTTATTAACTAATCACCCTGAGGAAGTTTATTAGTTATTGCTTGCTACACCTCTAATTATCTTGAACTGAATATTCCCTCAGTAGATTCACTTCGAAAATATATGTAAGTCTTATATTTACATGTTCGCACCCGTCCTCAATGACCGTAATATTGACGTCGAAAAAGATGATACAAATTGATGTGCTAAATATCTTTTCCCAACCCGTTAGTTGTTGTATTGAGGTTTTCCGAATGGTCGGGCAGGGGCGGGAATGGCCAGAGTGTGTGGGTGGGTGTGTGTGTGGATCCTGGTGAGGAAGTGAAAACATCACGCCCTTTTTCATTCTTTCTCTCAGTCTGTATTTTAATCTTTTATTCTCGGTGACCACTTAATTTCTTGGCGAGTGAATGCTTGTGTTCTCTCACTCGTGATTAATGCTCGATTTTAACATTCAAGCATCATAACACGCTTGGCTTTCTCTGGCGCTTCTGACACCCTTCCTCCGCCTCCTCCCCTAAACAGTGTTACCAGAAACATGAACCCTTGGGCGCTGTCTCGGCTTCGGGATCAGAATGCAAAGGTCCACACAACAGTGCAAGGCCTAAAGGGAGGAGAAAAAAATTGGCTCACTCACTCCCTCACTCTCTCTCTCTCTCTCTCTCTCTCTCTCTCTCTCTCTCTCTCTCTCTCTCTCTCTCTCTCTCTCTCTCTCTCTCTCTCTCTCTCTCTCTCTCTCTCTCTTATATATATGTATATATATATATATATATATATATATATATATATATATATATATATATGCACACACACACACACACACACACACACACACACACACACACACACACACACTCACACTCACACTCACACTCACACTCACACTCACACACACTCACACTCACACTCACTCACACTCACCACACACACACACACACACACACACACACACACACACACACACACACACACACACACACACACACACACACACACACACACACATATATATTATATATATATAATATTATATATTATATATATATTATATATATAGTGTGTGTGTGTGTGTGTGTGTGTGTGTGTGTGTGTGTGTTGTGTGTGTGTGTGTGTGTGTGTGTGTGTGTGTGTGTGTGTGTGTGTGTGTGTGTGTGTGTGTGTGTGTGTGTGTGTTGTGTCCTCATATGCATATACATTTTAGATGTGCTTAACACAATACATATAAGCGGACGTACAGATCCCAGCACAAGAACGGGAAACCCCGCCTTACCCTTGGCACTCACATGCCTCCCTTCTGGCTGACAGGTAGCTTTCCGGACGAGGTTGGCGGGAGCGCAGGTGAGGGAAGGGGGTGATGGTTGGGTCTTAGCTGGCGGACTTAGAGAGGAGAGTGATAAAAATTGCTAATCAGTATTGTCACCTTCAGGGAAATTATAGTGTTCTAATGTTTATTGGTACTAATATGGTAATTCTTAAAATTCTAAGGGAATCTTGGTTTGCTGTTTGAGTTTATGGTGGTAGTCATGTTGGGTGGAGTGCAGGCGTGTTTTTTTCCCATTCATTATAAAAAAGTGAACAAGCAATGATTAATTTCATTTTCTTTCTAGAACAAATAACGATTTGTTGTTGACAGCTCCCCCTTCACAATCAAGCATTCCAAAATTTATGATATTGCATTACATTTACTATATTTCATACGTTAACTCGTAACATGTAAACTGACAAATGTGGTAATACAGTGGAACTTCATGGACTTGGCACCTCAAGGGACCCGCCCAAAAGTGCCTATTTCGAGAAGCTGCCGAATCCTGGAAGCTGGGGTCCAACGCATGCGTACCGACTAGGAAGATAGGAAGTCATAGCTATAGTACATATACACATTTATTAACAACATATATTCTATGTATGTATGACATTTAAAAAACTATTAGTATTATGAAATTGACCAGTAAATGAGTGAAAACACGCACTCTTGGCACTTGACTTGCAAAGACGCAATTTCAAAACCTTATTTACAAAAAGCATTAGCAAAAAAAATCTATACGAGTGAAATAAGACATCAACTCAGTCTGACGAGAGGATTACGCAACGTTGTTGAAAGTAGAGACTGTCCAAGATTAATCAACTGTTCACGCGCATTTGTCCCACTGCCGATTTCGGGAAGCTGATTGGCTAATCGGGACCGGGATTTGGCTGCCAATTGCCGGATACGGGAAGTGCTTGGTCTAGGAAGTTCCGTTAATAAGAAATTACATTAGCGTCAGTCGGGACCAGACAAAACCCGCCTGTTAGAAGAAGCTGCCAAGTCTAGGAACTGCCCATTGTAAGAAGTTCCACTGTATATGAATTCGGTAAATGCTCAACACACAGGTCTACACAAATATTGATATTACCGTTTATGAATGCAAGGGTTTTACTAAAACAAAACAAAAGAATAAGAGATAATGCAATGCCCTACCTATTATGCTAATAGTTCAAAATGTGTGCTTGTGTATGTTTTGGCTGTGCACAGTCAAAACACACGAGGAGGATATCCGTTATGTTGCCCTGAACAGGCACGCACTGAACAGGCACTACACTAGTTATCATGTTTCGCAATCCTTACAGTCACATAACCTCCTGACCTTTTCTCTATTCCACACGAGCCCGAAGAGTGCCTTTATCGTAGCATATAATGTTGCTATGACTGTACTTATTTTCTGCCTATCCTATTTGAGTTCGCAGTAAAAATGCAAGGTCTATAATGACCTTGCCTTTGCCGATGTTCCCACTTACCCCCTACAGATAGTTAATTGTCAGTTAGAGATGGCTCACCATGTATCTACCAGGCCTGAGGCAGTGTTTCCTAAGCATGTACTCTGAAGCAAGG